GTTACAATAAAGTTTACTAAAAAGAAAAAAAAGGGGGGGAGTGGAGATCACATGTTTCCTGTCTTAAAATGGAGCTCCATTTTGCAGCCCGACCCTTCTCTCTGGAAGGGCTGTTTTGCCACGCTTCCTTGCGGCGCATGCGTGCTGCCCACCACGCCTCCCTGCGCCGCCATTACTGAGTTGGCTGTGCTCACAGTGTAGTACGGAGCTGCGCCTTCTGTATATTCCCGGTAATGTGACTGAGGTTGTTCGTCCTTAGCTCCGTTACAGCACTTCCATGGCGACCACGGTTCGCTGAGGCTGCAGGAAATACTGTCTGGGGTCATGCTCAGTATTCAGAGGGAAGGGCAGTGCAGCAGGAGAGAGTTGGGGCTCAGTGCTGGCAAGTGAGGAGGGGGGTCCTTCCAGTGTGGGGGCAGGGTGTGTCTGAATGTTCTGGTCACGGGGGTGTATTTTTTTTCTCTTGTGTTTTCCTGCAGGAGTGCTTCCAGTATGGGGGTGTGAGATCAGCCAGTGGGAGGAACACCCAAGAACACCTCCCACCCTGTCCACATATGTTTGGGGCAGGAATACACTGTACCATGGGCATTGTATGTTGCATCGCACCACAGCGCATGTAGGGGGAGAACCATCTGCGTGTTGCCTTAAAGGTAGAATAAAGGCAAAACGTTTTATTGTGCCATTTATAGGGGGGGGGGGGGGGGGGGTATAACTCTTGACAGGTTTTGTTTTCTTTGCCAATTGTGTACCATTGGGGAGATTTAATTTCCTGCCACATAGGCAAAATGGGAAGTGGGTGGAAATTTCTCCAAAGTGAGGGAAATCACAGGTTCTCCCAGAACTAATGTCCTCATTGGAAGATTTTCCCTCTATTCATGTGCAGGTGACAACGCTAAGGCCCCTTTCACTTGGAGCATACTGATTAGATCTGTAGGTGATCTCTCCACTGATCCACCACTGAGCAGGCGGGTGACAGGTCTGTGTCCGCTCAGCTAAAGTGATTCTAAAGGGTTAAAGTGGAGCTCCACCCAAAAGGGGAGGTTCTGGCTTAAGGCTTTGTCCCCTGCAGACTGTTAAGGATTGGCACCTTTAGGGAGCGGGTACTTTGAAGTTGACAGGTGCCCACTTCCATTTCTGGTGCGATCGCCTAGGGCAATCAGAAGATGTTGTCTCACCCCGACCCTCTCCCCCTCCCTCTCCGTAGTCTTATGGGACACGTAACAGGTCGCAGAAGACTACGGGATCATTCACAAAGCCCAGCACTACTCATGCATGTACAGTGGGCATCCGGCTGTGAAGCCGCAAGCTGTCACAGCCGTGTGCCCACACTGGAGAAGATGGCCGGTGAAACCAGGCATGGTGAGGACACCGCTGGACCGAGGGACAGGTAAGTCTGTATTTTAAAAGTCAGCAGCTGCAGTTTTTGTAGCTGCTGACTTTTTTTTTTTTTTTTTTATTCAACTGGAACTCCACTGTTTAAGGTTTTGTTTTTTATTAACTACCAAACATGTTATTCTTACCTGCTCTGTGCATTGGTTTTAAAAAGAGCAGCTGATACCCTAAAGAAGCATAGACAGTCATTTACACCTTGCATTGTCAGGGAAGCCCCACAGCAATGGAGGATTTTTTTTTTTCCTTAAAGTTTAGCTTTAAGCCCTAGGGGGTTGTGGGTGCTAGGTCTTACATTTTATGTCACAAAAAGCCCTCTGAAATATCCAAGCTTAAGCAATATTGGAGCAGCAGAGACACGGCTTCTCCACACTATAGGCAGAGCTTGGTGCCTTAATGCTAGGCCTGAGCACTGTTGTGGGTGTCACATATCTAATGCCGATTCATTTTTATATCACTATATTTTCAAGATTAACATTCCTGGAAACTATCAGACTTTTCATGTTTAGCTTATTACTGTATGGCCAGCATGAGCCTAGGCGAATACATTCATTCAGAAAGTCAGTAGTTGCAAGCGAGCTTCAGGTGGATTCAGAGGATCCTTTAGGAGGCTTGTTAAAAAAAAAAAGGCAATATTCAGTATTAGTTTGCTATACAAATACCATCATGCTTTAAAGAGAACCTATCCCTGTGCCCATCCAGGGCAAAACAACAGGTTCCCCCTCACACTCTAAAATGGTGTGTTCTTACATGAGCGGGCTAATTGCTGAAAAAATTATTTAATTTGAATAGTGATTGTATTCTGTCACTTTGTTAAATTATTAGCACTACCAGGCCAATGTTTGAGTTAGTTTTGGGACTAATCTGCTTCAGAAAATATAGGAAGCAGCTAACTGTTCTGATAAAGGCTCGGAAGTCCTGAGCTGTTTAAAGCAGATGTAAACTCTGCATAGGATCTCTGCATGCCAGGATGACAGAACGCCTGTGCTTGTGCAGGGGTGACGCCATCCCATCCTGTCATCAGCACCTGGTAGATGTCGGCGAGGGATGTTAGACTGTTGAATGAAAGGCAAGTACTTTGGACTTTAGTTCCGCTCTTCTTTTATTTGCAATAAACAGCATGGATGGAGGAATTCCATGCCAGCCATTGTTTTCAGAGAGCCAGCATCCACTGCTATCTGAAAAGCTGAACCATGACTAAATCTGATTCTTCACAGTGTACAGAGCAGCCCCTATCCTCCTCTTCTCAGGTTCCCTGGTGGCGCACCCCCCCCCCCCCCCCCCCGAGTTCCCTCACTGAGAGCTGCTTGCTCTTGGGGCACTCGTGCATGCTCACTCCCGAGCCACCTCTGTGTCTGAGATCTGGCCACTCCATCCTCACTGGCTATGATCGACAGCAGCAGAAGCCACCGCCTCCTGCTGCTGTCTCAGCCAATTTTGGAGGGAGAGACCTGGGAGAGCTCTCGTGCAAGCACACTGAAGGTTTTTTTTTAATGGGTAAGTTTTATTGAGTTTTTAAAAGGGTATCATACAAAGACACAACAGCACAGCTTTGCTCATATGCGAATCATATGAAGCATTGAGTTACACCAAAAAAAAAAAAGAATCGTGGTAGTATATTTGAGCGCAATGCATACAGCACAAAAAATTGAGCCTTTAGAACCACCTATAAGTGGTAGTGAACCCTTACTTTAAATTCGTACCTACAGGTAAGCCTATAATAAGGATTACCTGACGATCTTCTAAACATGCGTTCAGAAGAAAATCACATCGGCTACAGCCAATAATGCCATGGCTGCATGCACAGTAGCTCTGTATTCTGTGCACATTGAGTGTCCTGTGACTGCAGTATGTTGTGCTGTGATCATGACTCCCATGTACATGCATGGGAGTGACATAATCGCGACCCAGCCATTCAAATGTCTGGAGAGTGTGAATCTGGAAGGAAGACCGGGGTGAAAATGGAAGTGGTGACAGTGTGCCTGTCCCTTTTCTTGCTGTTAAACAATTCAGGTAAAATTCCTCTTCATTGGTTGGTGTCTAGCTCTTCTCAATATGTTGCAGCCAAGTGGTCATAAATACTGCATTTCCTTGCATCCTATTGAGTTGTTCTTTATGCTGCTTTCTTAGGCTATATTTGCAGGGGTGTTTTCCCAGGCTGTGAATCCCAGTGGCAAGAATCTACTTACAGCCACATTCTGTCCTGACAATAACTATCACTTGGATTGGAAGTGAGGGGATCTTTCCCCAACGGCTACATATCAATACAAAACCTGGGAGAATTTTTAATTCTTCACCTTTAATATGACTGTTGTCACCTAATATAAATAAAACTATATAAAAGAGCTACTTAACTAAAAAGACTTTTAATGCTTTTTACTCATCGTGGTGCTGATCTTCTCTGCTGTCTAAAGAGTCTTCTGTATTGGTTACACTTCAGGGTGTGTTGGATGCATGATCCCTTGCTGCATTATGTGTTGCTCTCTGTTTCCCCCATGTTATTATTGTAGTGACATTGAGATCAGTGTATGGGGCAACTGGGCATTCATATTCCAGGCTGTAAATTTTAGGCTATGCTGGACATGTAGGTTTCAACAGCAATGGGGTACATGGGAACATCATGTCACTATACTGGTGGAGGGATAACTATTAAAGAAGAACTGAACTTAAAAAAAAATATTTGCTGTGTTTTGAGTAACATTTAGAATTGTGTTCATTGTGCTTAAATGTGTATATTTTTATTTTGAATTCCTTGCAAAAATAGCAATGCTTTTCTGTGCATACAACCTCATAGCTGTATAAATGCAGTGTGAGATCTAAGGCTCTGCTTCATCTGGCTCCTAGTCTTCGAAGATTTAAGGTGAGACCAGTTCTGTGTTGCTCACTGGTGTCTTTTCTGGAGATTCTGACATAAGAAAGCAAAGCCTTGTCTTTACCAAACTGGCTGCCTCCTCACAGAGATGCAGTGAAGTGGCATGGTACGTCAGTAATAGGGAAAAGACCAGATGCAGCAAAACCACAGGCAATACTGGTTGATAGCACTTTGCCATCTGTCTTCCTTTTTTTGTATACAACTTCCAAAGTTCAGTTCCTCTTTAACCACCTCCCACTGGCCATATGCATATGTGGACTCTCTGCGAGTGTGTCTTAAGGCCAAGCGACCACGTATATGCAGCCCTGTGTACACAACTTACTGCACTAAGAGCTCACTTTCTGCATGCTCCCAGCACAGTAACCGGCAGGGATCGGTAACCTCCCGATGCATACCTGCAATCAGGAGCTTTCCAGCCATGTGACCACAAATCACAGCGGTCACATGACCCAAATACCCACCTCCTGGCTTTTAGGATTCCTAAAGGGCTGGGAGGCGGTCGGCAGGAAGGGGTTAACCATTCTCCATAGTAATTAATGTACTTATAAGGAATCTGTCATAAGATAAATATGGGAGATGCTTTTGTGGTCTTCAAGTGCTAGTTGCTTGGCTATTTAATAAAAGTAGTAATGCACATATAGCTTTTAATGCAAGTTTTTTTTTTTTTTTTTTTTGACAGACTTAAAAAATTTGCCTTTTTTTGTATGCCAACAGGAAAAGTATTTCATGAGGCTAAAGAATGTCAGTAAAGGTCCGATTACAAGGTCTTCCACCACTGGCAGACTCCATTCACGTTCGAAGGTTCTTTAATGGACTGAAGATTCCATCTGGAGGTGTTACTATTATTGGTGGGGTGGAAGGCGAGGCATTTGTTAAATTTAAAAACTTTCAAGATGCTTGCTATGCCCTCAAAAGGTCAGGGAGACCTATACTGAATTCATGTATTCAAGTTTTTCTGGATAGCAAGGCAGAGCAGGCCACTAAAAAACGCCACCATAGATACGTGGGAAAGCCTGGGTATGTACGTATTTCATTGCATCCATTTGATGCTTCATTTTCTGATGTGAAAAGGTTTTTCAAGCATTTTTCTGTCAAAAGTGTCATTTTTTTAACTAAAAACAAAGTAAGGAATGGCCAGGCTCTTGTTAAGTTTGCTAAACGTAGCCATGCATGTAAAGCTCACTCTTGCACTTTATCTAATGGTGAAGGTGCCAGTAAACAACACAAGCATGAAAAGTGTTTTTCTGTCATATCAGTTAAGAAATCTGATGAAGCAGAATGGATCAGATTTGGTGGCAAAGTTGAATGCAATGGAAAAGGTTCAACACGTTTGTCTTGCTGCAGATCAGAACCACCCTATGATGCATGGTATATCAATGAGTTTTATGCACACCTAATGAATGTTAGTCGCCATGCAGAGAAACAGCACATAAAGAGGTTTTTGTATGATCTTGTTGATGATTCTCAGATAACTTTTGTGTATGACAAGAATGGCTGTAGGACACGAGACTGTTTTGTAATGTTTGTAACAGACAATGATTACATAAGAGCCCTCAGTTTAGACAAATCAATCCTTAAAGGGCGCTCTGTACGAGTGTCGCCTGTCCCCAAGGCAAAAATGACAGAATTTGTTGAAAGCAAAAAAATGGACATTACAGAAGATTCAGTTTCGGAGGAAGATTCTGTTTCCGAAGAGGACTTCACTGTTCCAAGTAGTTTGGGATCCAAGCTGACGTGCGTCTATTTAAGAAACTTTGCAGCTGATGTGACCAAGCAAGATATATTGACCTTTTTTGCAGGATTTGCTTTAAATGAAAAAGACATCTATCTGTTATATGACGACAATGGGGATGGACTTGGTGAAGCACTGGTTAAATTCTCAAGTGAAGAGGAAGCAACTAGTGCTGAAACACTAAATCATAAACACTTCCAAAGCACTGAAATCCTGCTGAGGTGCATCTCTGAAAAGCAACTAAAAGTATTCGGTGTTAATAATTTTGGATCTCCCTCTTTTGACCGTCTGGAATTTTCTACCAGCAAGGAGGAATGCCAACTAGAAGAGTTGCAGGTGTGTGTCAGTCTTGCAGATGACACTCCTGATGTTGCATGTGATTCCTCATAGGACTTGTGGCTCACCATGTTAATGACTGTATTCAGACTATGTAAATTCATGGGACTACACTGCGACAATCTATTTTTCCTGGATATGTGATGAGGACATGCTTGCTGAGACTGAAACATCCATGAAAATGACAGCAATTCGGTATCATACAATGGCAAAAAAAACAAAGTATTAGTAACTTTTATTTGTACAGCACATATGCTTATATGTTTATTTTGTACTTTATTTCTGATCAAACAAAGTAAGGTTAAGCAGGGCTCTGTAATTGAGTGCCTAGCTCACTATGTGGATTTTCATTTTCTAAATGTTTGTGTATATTGTGCCTTTTAGTATCGTTAGATTGCTGAGTGTCCAGTAAAAGTCAATTGCAAACTTGGGGGACTGTTAACTGTAACAAAGTTAACAGGAAAACCATGAGTTGACCAGGCACAAGTTACAAAAACAATTTAGGAAAAAAAAAAAAAATTGCTCAATAGGGTAGACAAATACCAAGCCCTGCTGCAAACTTGGGAAATGGGATTCAATTAAAGAACAACTCTTTGCTTTAGATATCCAATCAAGAGCATAGTATTGCTGCAGGTGGCAGCAATTTCCAGGCTGAGGAATTCTTCAGCATCTGCATGGCAGATGATAGTATTCCAAGTTAAGTTAATTATGGTTGTGCAATAAGTAAATACACAGTATATTAATCATCTTTATTTTCTGTTTAAAAGACTGAGCTGGCTTTAATTATCATATTCACTTTTATTTGACTTTTGTACTTACAGGAGTTGTTCTAAAGCCTGATCCCAGCTACGTTTTTGAGCAGAGTGGGGAACTGCTGGCACCTCTGTCAGGTTTTGGTTGCTGTCTGTATTACGTGAATAGATATCACCTCACTTCTTGTCACTGTGGGCAGTAAGGAACACAATGCTTTTTTGCAGATTTTAAATTTCTATGCCAAGGTTTTAATGCTTTTTTTTTTTTTTTTTTTTCCTCCATTCTGTCTGGATGACACACACTTCCATTCCTTTGATGTTGCCAGGACCGAAATTGATGGAAAAGCATAAAGGTGTCCCCACTCTATCCAAAACCAAAAAAGAAAAACAATTGATTTGGGTTTAAATTTGATGGGTACGGTTTTGTATGTTGGAGTGTCCTTTAATATTGTCCACAGAAATAAACATGTCTAATTTTTGGATGGGTATTGACTGTACATTTTAACCTTATCAAAGCATGCAAATAACTGTAAATCAAAAATTCAGACATAATAATCTTTGAAAGTGATCATCATTCTTCCCATTTACTCAAATCTGGAAGATAACTTTGCATTAAGGTAAACCCTTCAAACCCTAAATACTTACCTGAATCCTACGTCGATCTGGTGCTGTGCCTGCCTACAGGTCTTCTCTCCCATCTGTGCTCTCACAAGCTTGGCTGAGCGCAGCAGAAGCCTTTGGCTCCTGCTGATGTCAATCAAATCCTTTGAGGAGGGGGCGGGGGTCTGTCTGTCGCACACGTGCCACTTTAAGAAGCGGCTTCCTGTGGTGTCACATGGAGAAGAGATAAAGCCGAAAGCATCTGCAGGGGATCCTAGAAGAGGAGGTTCAGGGCTATCCTGTGCAAAACCCTTGCACAGAGCAGGTAAGTATAACCTCTTTTTTTTATTTTAATGGAAAAAATGTTGAACTTTACAACTTATTTTAAGTTAAAAAAAAAAAAACCCTACTGCTATGGCTTGTTGAGGGGACACTTGGAGGAGCGGAGCGCACAAGCAGGGGACCAAAATAGAAGAGGTAAGGGACCCCTTTGTGCAATATCCTTGCACAGAGCAGGTAAGTATAACATCATTTTAATTTTAGGGGGAAAAAAGACTTTAACCAGTTGCTGACTGCTCTATAGCAGTTTTACTATTAATGATAGTTTTATATATACGTGACTCTACACTCCTGGGTAGTGGGTGCGCGTGCGCGCCACTTTTGTTGTGATTAGTCACCGGCAGAAGTCGATCAGTGGGTGCCGGCCAATGGATAACCATCCATTGCCCGGCATGTAATGATAGACGAGCAGACACACTGGACAGAGCTCTGCATATGTAAACAATGCAGAGCTGTGTCCTGTCAGCGGGCATGTTCTGGATTTAACCCTTTGATTGCCCTGATGTTTAACCCCTTCCCAGCCAGTGTCATTAGTACAGTGTATATTTGTAGTACTGATCACTGTATTAGTGTCACTGGTTCCCACAGTGTCAGTTATTATCTGCCGCAATATCGCAGTCCCGCTATAAGTCGCTGATCACCGCCATTACCAGTATTAAAAATTAAAGAAAAATTCCAGGATATATCCCATAGTGTGTAGACTCTATAACTTTTGAGCAAACTAATCAATATACGCTTATCAGATACAGTAGAGCTATAATGCCACCTACAGGAGGATTGGACACTGGCAAAAAAATTGTAGTCTGGCCCAGGATTACCCCTTTTCTACTCAGCAAGTTTTAGGAGGGTGGATGTATTTTTTCAGCTCTGCTGACAATTCTAACCTACCTTTTCTAGCCTTTTTATTGTGTTCATTTGTTATAATTTCTTAAGATTCTTCTTGTGACTTCAGTCAAAATTTCATCTCCACTTGACCTGGTCTCTACATAGCAGGTCTCTGTATGAGCCTTTCCTCAGTTGGACTTTGAAGTGCCATACCTGGGCCCCACTGGACTGGATGTTGCAAGCCTAGTCTGTAATGTGCTCTTCGGGCACTGGGTTATGCGTTGTGATGCTTTCCATACATTTGCATACTGGTTAAAGTTAGCCACTGAGTGCTTTTTAGGTCCAGAGCTGTGGCATTGCCTTAGTCCTTGATCGTCTCTGAAGACTTACTTTAAGTGCTGAAGCACCAAGTGCTACCTTACTAATGCACTGTTGGGTGCCTATTAAATTTCCCACCACTGCTTAACACAGAAGGACTGAGCTTTGAAATCCTCCACTGGATTGAGGCTTATGTGTACTTTCCATGCTTTTTTTCCCATCTTTCAGCATAGAAGAAGCACCATCCTGCTGTTTTTTGTTCCTTCTGCTAGCCTACAATGAGCTGGTCAGCTCTGGCAAAGTGTGAGGACTTGCCTCACATTTTGGGCCAAGTTGCCTTAGTGCCAAGCAGGGTGCAGCTTGTCTAAAAATACAAAGAGGGGCATCCACACAAATTGGGGTATGCTCAGATCATTCTCACCTAGTACTTTGGGGGCATCTACTCTCCTTCCTCTCAGGGTACCAATATCCATTATCTGGATTCCAGTAACCCTAAAGTTATAGGGTATACATCATTGAAGTCTTTTAGTTCAGCTTCATTAGTGTGCCAGAGTCCCCTCTCCTATTGTCAGGGGCCTCTACTGCAATTAGGCAGAACCAAGTGGCTTAGTTTCTTCTGCATGCTGCCTGCAGAGGCTCTAAGCACACTCCCCTGCAGAATCTACCCTTTGAATCTGTGTCAGAGATGGTCACAGCACCTGTTGATGCAGCCTGTTCTAAGGACATGGAAAATGTCAAGAGTCCCAATAGTCAAGAGACTGTTTTTGTGGCCCTGCATTTGGAGAACCAGCTTGCTGCCTCCAGCCTTGAGTCTTTCAGAGCTGTAAAGACCTATCTACTACACCTGCTATTTGAGGTATTGCTGTGTATGAACCGGAAGCGCCCTGAAGGGTCCTTGGCCCCACCTGTGAGTGTGTGGAAACTGTTACCCTTTGAGAGGGAATTTTCTCTAACTGTGGTCTATATCTACTGTGAATCCACCAGTGACCCCCATAACAGGAAAGCAACTAAATGTGTAAAGAGCATATGCTTACCTTTCAGGATTCTGCTGACCAGCAGTTGGAATAATTCCAAAAATCCCAGTTTTCTCTGGTAGGTTTTTTCTTTCCTAGTTGTAACCATGGCAGAATGGATTAGATCCTCTAAAAAGGATCTCTCCACTTCCATGGTACATTTTAATTCCGTGGAACATGTGTGGAGCCTTACAATTCAGTTGATGGATTGTTACATGTGCCTAAATGAGTGTCTCGCATGGGTTTGGTGTCTATACAGATGTGCAGAGCACTCTGGTTAAATTACTGGAATGCTGATTCCACTTCCAATGAGCATCTGACTTGGTCTTTGGGAGACTTTGTTTGCAGCTACACTTGATACCATTTTCAAGGATTTCAAAGAAGACCAGAGCATACTCCTTCCTCAACACAGGAGGTCCAGGGGGATCAGGATAACTCTACTGTTGAGGCACGTGAAGCCCTCAGTGCCCCTTTGGCCAGCGGGACCTTTTTGACCTACTAGGTCCACAGTAACCAGCTTTGTCCGTCCCTCACCTAGATAGGTATAGAAATCTCCGGTGTTGCTCATGCTAACCAGATACTTAGAGCATTGACTTATGTTTGGGCTAGGCTCTTTCCTGTTGTCTACATTGTGGGCTACTCAGATGACTTCCAGTGAGCAGGATAGGTTTTCCATAATAATCCTTCAGAATAATTCTTGTGAGATGGCTTTGCCCACTGCATGAAACACAAGCCTGAGACTGAAAGAGTTCCCAGAGCCAGTAGTAGTAACAATTGTGATTTCCTGCAAACGTGATCACCTCCTTCTGTGGGGTGTGTATTTTTGTTTTTGTGTTTTTTTGTTTTTGTTTTTTTCCTTCCTGAGTTTAGCTGCGAGCGGTCAGACCCTCACCAGCCAAATAGAAGTGAGTAGGCCAGTGAGTCCTACATTTATAAGGCAGAGAGAGGGGTCCACGGAGAAGGTATCTGGTGCTGGGTCATGTTGGTCTCTATACCCTTCTCTCCCGTACAATGACCTGCCATGTGTCTTCCATTCTCCCTGATGCTGTTTGAGTTGGGGGTCCTGGTTCTCAGCCTGCCTGCACTCCTCGCTGTCTCTCCCGACATCATTCCCATATGTGTATCCCGGCTTGAGAATCTGGGTCAAGGTGGACTAATACAGAGGATAATAGCTACCCCACTACCAGTCCTGCTGTGCTCTCATAGA